TCGGCCAGTTCCTGGGGGGGGACACCAGTATGGACCAGTACAGACCAGTATGGACCAGTACAGACCAGTATGGACCAGTACAGACCAGCATGGACCAGTATGAACCCATATAAACCAGTACAGACTCATGTAAACGCAGCTTGGGATAGTCCCGCAGATCAGCCAGTTCCTGCGGGGGGACACCAGTATGGACCAGTATGGACCAGTATAGACCAGTATGGACCAGTATAGAACAGTATGGACCAGTATGGAACAGTACAGACCAGTATGGACCAGTTGAGACCAGTATGGACCCATACAAACCAGTACAGACTCATGCAAAGGCAGCTTGGGATAGTCTGGCAAATCAGCCAGTTCCTGTGGGGGGGGCACCAGTATGGACCAGTAGGGACCAGTACAAACCAGTATGGACCACCCCAGATCAGTACAGACCCGTATAAATCAGTACAGTCAGTATAAACCACCACGAACCAGTATAAACCACTATAAACCAGTATAAGTCACCGTGAACCGGTACAAACCTGTATAAACCAGTACAAACTAACATAAACCACTACAAACCAGTAACAACCAGTACAAACCAATATAAACCAGTATGAGGTGATATAAACCAGCACACACCAGTATAGACCAGTCCCTCCCAGTGCCCCCCATCCCCTCCCCCAGTCCCTCCCAGCACCTCCCAGTCCCTTCCAGTGCTCCCAGCGCCCTCTCCCAGTCCCCCCATCCCCTCTCCCAGTGTCTCCCACTGCCCCCATCCCCTCTCCCAGTGCTCCCCAGTCCCTCCCAGTGCCCCCATCCCCTCTCCCAGTGCCACCCAGTCCCTCCCAGTGCTCCCAGTCCCCTCTCCCAGTGCCTCTCAGTGCTCCCAGTGCCCTCTTCCAGTGCTTCCCAGTCCCTCCCAGTGCTGCCAACCCCTCTCCCAGTGCCCTCTCCCAGTGCCACCCAGTCCCTCCCAGTGCTCCCATCCCCTCTCCCAGTTCCTTCCAGTCCCTCCCAGTGCCCCCATCCCCTCTCCCAGTGCCACCCAGTCCCTTCCAGTGCTCCCAGTCCCCTCTCCCAGTGCTCCCCAGTCCCCCCCAGTGCCCCCA